AGCTAGGCCTGCCGTGTCCAGACAGGCAGGGAGTTGAAGCATGTGGAGGAGTAGCCTGGCTAACTCTGAGCTTATCCAGTTCTTTGCTGTAGTGAAGGGCACTGTGAATGTACGGTTGTTACACACTGAGCCGAGCCCAGGGCTGAGGCCACTGCTGTGGCACTCACAGATAGTGCTGCAGCTGTGGGAGTGGAGTTCAAGGTAAAACCAGTAAACACAAATTAGTAAACTGGTATCCGCAATCTTGTCCTTGAGATAAAGAGGACTTATAGAGCAGTCTATGCTTTGCTAACAACGCTATATTTAGGCCAGGGTATATGTCTGAATTTTCCCTCCCTTTTCTGTCTCAATGAAAGACCATGTTCCTTTACTCCCGGAGTTTCAGTACGATTTGTATGTACAACTATGTTGCCGTTGACAGGGAAGGCCGGGGGTAGAATTTGGGTTGCAGTTAGTACTGGTTCATAGCTCGTAGCACTGCTTAGCCCTGTCATCACCGTTATCACTGTTGCCCAACTCTTATCTTATTTCCCTCAGCTCTCTCCCATGTCAGTCCCTGCACAGTGTATGTCATTGTGTTAAGTTCCCGCAGTTCCAGAGCGACTGTGATTATCTGAAGTTAATCGCGAGCACACCAAGTTGCCCGCATGTGCTCTGGGCTACTTTTCACTTCAACTGAGGCATTAAGCAGTACTTACGTATTCAATCCTCTTGGGATTTGTTATAATATTTGAGTGTTATCTTTGGACATAGTATAATGAAGAGAATATACAAATTGGTAGAAAATTGCAGCTTAAGACTTTATCAGTCTTTCTAGGAAAGGTTTTTGTAAAGCAACCACAATGACTATATTAGTATAATGACACTTTAGAAAAGTGAATTTGGAGTAGCATGGATACCTGATGAATGAATGCACCTCTTTGTGCTCATTGATACAGAAAGCAGCAGTTCACAGCAGCATTTTATCTGGCTTCGCCATTCATTTGACTCCCTAGACCAAATGATTTATCATGGATACCGAGGTCAGTCATTTCAACCCTAGTTGAAACATCCAACATGCTATGATCAAATCCATATAGGAGCAGCCGGCGCATGTAGGAGCTAGTGTCGGCTCAGACTGTTGAAGGATTCATTAGAATAAACTGCACTTTGTTTTTACTGTTAGTTAGTTGTGAACTTTTGCTGTCTGCAATCTTTTATCTCCAGATACAGAGTGTAGTTCACCAAAGGACACCAAATGAGGACAGAACCAGCAGATTTTATTGCTGAGTGTTGAATGCATTTTTAAGAACCTCACCAAATATTTGGCCAAAGCTCTCTTAAGTGGGTAAACATAGATATTAGTCAAGAGATATGCACACAGATTATATCTAGCTTTGCGGATCACTCGAAGGACATACAGGCCATATTTGTTTTCTTCCTAAATATACGGAGACTGAGTGCTACATGCAGTATGCATAACGTCTCGATCACACCTACAGCGTCATTGCGCAAAGTGGTACACAGCAGAATCTTGATATTTGTGCAACAAAAGTTCAACATTCACCTTCTGCTACCATTTCTGTCGAGCTGTCTACGCATACAATGTTATGCATACGTTCGATAAATCCAACGTATTCACCACACAGAACACACTGCAACTGCCTCTACCATGCAGTGCTGCAAGGCAAACGCAGCGTTCCATTGGAAATGAATGTACTTCTGGTGTACCAAAACGCAATGACGCTGTCGGTGTGATCAAGGCGTAACACTACAGTACTTTATAATGCATGTGTAGCATTTTCGTAAAGCAATAGCTCAAAATGAATACAGAAATGTTCTGTCATCATTCGTTTTGAGTGTTTCGTTGAAAAAGGTGCACTGTACCGGTAGTCATATAGAACTGTTGTTTCCAAGCAACTAAAATGTTGTAATTCATGTTGTATTGCACTGGAACAAATGACAACAAACTATAATTGAATAGGTTCAATTAAGAAAAAAAGTTGTAATAGGATTCTGATTGGGGTGACAAAATTACATTTACATTTTAGTCATTTAGCAGACGCTCTTATCCAGAGCGACTTACAGTTAAGTAAGCGCATACATTTTCATACCGCCAATATCCAGCAACTTTGCACAGCCATTGAAGAGGAGTGGGCCAACATTCCACCGGCCACAATCAACAGCCTGATCAACTTTATGCGCTGCATAAGGCAAATGGTGGTCACACCAGATACTGACTGGTTTCTTGATCCACGCCCCTACTTTTTTTTTTAAAGGTATCTGTGACCAACAGATGCATATCTGTATTTCCAGTCATGTGAAATCAATAGATTAGGGACAAATGAATTTATTTCAATTGACTGATTTCCTTATATGAAATGTAACTCAGTAAAATCTTTGAAATTGTTGCATGTTGCATTTATATTTTTGTTCAGTATATCTACAGTGAGGGAAAAAAGTATTTGATCCCCTGCTGATTTTGCACGCCTATCCTACAAGACAAAAACCTATAGGATCCAATAGGATTACTTTTGTTTCCAATAGGAAAGTGTCCAATAGGATTACAATAGGATCCTGATAGAGGTGACACAAAATTCTTTAGGATTGTGAGAATCCTATAGGATCCAATATGATTACTTTTGATTTCAAATAGGAAAAAAGCAGTCCAATAGGATTCTGAAAGAGGTGACACAAAATTCTTTAGGATTGTGAAAATCCTATAGGATTCTATTGGAAAAAAACACAAATCCTATATTGTTTTGTTGACTAGGGGTTTCCTATAAATATATTCAAATATCTTCCTGGCACAAAAATCCTAAACCTTGTGTAATATAGCATTATGTCCAGTGTATTTGTGTGGAGGAACTAATGTCAACCCGTCGTCTGCAGGAGTAATGCACTAAAAGCTTCTTCACCCCCTGACAAACCCTGCCCTGTTCCTCATGAAACACAATCCTTTGGAGATTTGATTTGGCAAATTCTCAGGAAGTGACTTCCACAGAGGGACACAACTGGATTCCTGCCTAGATGTTTTTTTCCACAGCCTGATTTAGAGGCTCATTCACACTCTTTTGATCTATTTTTTGCTTTTGTCATTTCTACCCCTGGAAATGCATTGGATGCATTGTAATGTTTTATACAGTAAGTGTTCTGGGCTTTGAGATTGTTATCATCTTCGGCTTTCTACTTCAACCTCAGTGACTTCAGTGTTGCTGCAATGTATGAGATGATTACAGTGTGTCATTATTAGCCTGTCCATCCATACTGTACGGACAACTCAGCAAGGGGACATTAGCTGTTAAAGTAACCCCAGTAATGCAGTCCCTTGGCTTTTGTTAGGTGCCTGCAAAGGGAAATCCTTACGTGTTTTTTGGGTCTTGTAAATCTCGTCACTGACTGATTTTAAAAACTAGATTGTTTACTTCATTGAAGGGTGATGTAATAGCTGGTGGTTGTGATTCGCTGTGGGCTTCTTAAGAGTACTAACGCTAACTCTGCTGGAGTACTGTGACCTCGTTTCACTCCACAAACGAGGGCTGGCGCATCCTGCCCCACCGATCTGCCTTAAACCAAGGCACAGAGACCCATCCACACAGAAAGAGGCAGCCAGTTGATCTTTACTGTGCCTCTCTTCCTCCCTTCTCCCCACCCACCCCTGTCAACTTTAGACAGAGTTACATTACATTACATTTAACCAGCACCTTTGTAATGGCTTTAAAGCTCATGCAGGGCTTTATGCGAAGAACTCGAATTGCCATGGCTGTGTGAATAGGGGGGGGAGCGAGCCTTGTGACTCTTTTTTTTCTTCTCCTCCTGGGCTGTGTGGAGCAGAACAGGCTGATCCTGGGCTCTTTTACTTGGGGAAAAGGTGGCAGGTGATTGGGCCATAGCCCGGTGACATATATCTGTGGAGTCAGGAAAACGCTGTGCTCAGAGGCAGCTCTTTCTAATTAGCTCATTTCCGCTCCACTGCAGTAAAGAGAGGAGAAAGAGAGAGAGAGGGCTCTACTTTTCGCTTCCCAGCTGATACTGACTCGCTGCTCTACTCTACTCTGCTTGGTTCTGTTCTGTTCAGCGCTGCACGGTCTGCCTGTCTGATGCATGTTTCCATGTTCCTCACTAAAAGCCTGGTTTACAATGCTGTGCACTCAGCCCTACATAGGCTGCAGAGTTAGCTCAAATTCACAAGTCTTGTCTCCCAACAGAAGGGTAAGTTGTGATGTTAGATGATTTGTTAGTAGTTTATTTGGTGTTTTGTGTTAATATTGCATGACTGTTGAGATTCTCTGAGAGCTTTTTAATGCAGAACTGTAATATAGCTGTTGTGAAGTAAAAATTGGAGCAATAGGCAGTAGGCAGGTTGACGTTTATTGTCATGTGTCTTGTCCTGGAGGCAGAACTGATCGATTTCCCCTTAGATAGGCCAGCTGCAATGTCCAAATAAAAATTCATGAAAACAAAAATTAGCTTTTTGGTCTTAATTTTAGGTTAGGGTTAGGCATTAGGGTTAGCAGTGTGGTTAGGTTTACAATCAGATGTTATGCCTTTGTGGCTGTGCCAGCTAGTGACCACTCTGCAGAGCTGTCTGCAGAACAAGATTTATGATGAAAAACGCTAACCTGCACGCAGTAGGCTACTTTGTCAGGGACACATTTACCAACTTTTGGAAGAATTTGGTGCTGTTGGTGTGTGTGGGTTGAATGATTATGGGGTAGAATTATCGTGGACTTTGTTAAAGATGAGAGTTGACCTACCTAAAATCCTATAAACGTGTATGTGACAAATACAATTTGATTTGATAAGGCTTGGAGAACATTTGAACATCCCATGTCTTTGAAATGATGCCTTCCGACCTCTATTTCTTGCCTTGTTGGTTATTTGTCAAGTTTGATGTATATTTAATGTACATTTATTTAATGTACGTATGTGTATATATTTAATGTATTTTATATGTACATATAAAGCAAGCTCTGAACTGTTCTGATACAGATGTTGTTCATGTCAATGTGTTTGTTTCACTGCAGGTAATCAAAGTGTATACTGAGGACAATACAAGTCGAGCAGTAGAGGTTCCGACTGACATCACAGCCCGGGACATATGCCAGCTGTTTGTCCTGAAGAATCATTGCATTGACGACCACAGCTGGACACTGTTTGAGCATCTCTCCCATCTAGGCATAGGTAAGATTTCAATTCAATACAACGTTATTTATCCCACCAGGGGCAATTAAGAAAGAGAAGTCAGTTTTACAAGTACAGTATCAGATTACTGTGTAATGATGATGGTGATGAGGATGTGCACAATATCTAGTTTAGTGAGTGCAGAACCCTAAACCGAACCCAGTTGTTTTACTCTTTCTGTGGCACACTGCAGTGTGATTCTGCTCTTTGAAAAGATACCACAAGTTGATCAGCAAAGAGTTAATCGTACAGCAACAGTGACTCCAATCTTCCTACTGGTGTAGCCTTACCATTTCTCAGCAGCATAACTTATCCATCTGTTCTGTTCATTATTTCATTGAGTCTTTAAAGCATTGATTTTGCTGGAGATGTGCTGTTGTCATTTAACCAGTTTAGTAAGGTGTGTCCTAAAGTCTGCATTGTTCCTCTGAGTCTCTCCTTTTCTCCCTTTTTACTGTAATGCGTAATTTTGAAAACATGTTTTGAGGTGATTGATAATTCCACTCAGTATATGTCGTTATAGGAAAATGTGTTAATTTTAGATGAGCTAAACTGAACAAAAATATAAATGTAACATGTAAAGTGTTGGTCGCATGTTTCATGAGCTGAAGTAAAAGATCCCAGAAATGTTCCATACGCACAAAAAGCTTATTTCGGTCAAATTTTGTGCACAGATTTGTTTACATCCTTGTTAGTGAGCATTTATCCTTTGCCAAGATAATTCATCCACCTGACTGGTGTGGCATATCAAGAAACTGAATAAACAGCATGATCATTACACAGGTGCACCTTGTGCTGGGGACAATAAAAGGCCACTCTAAAATGTGCAGTTTAGTCAGACAACACAATGCCACAGATGTATCAAGTTTTGAGTGAGCGTGCAATTGGCATGCTGACTGCAGGAATGTCCACCAGAGCTGTTGCCAGAGAATGTAATGTTCATTTCTTTACCATAAGCCTCCTCCAATGTCGTTTTAGAGATTTTGGCAGTACGTCGAACCGGCCTCACAACCGCAGATCACGTGTAACAACGCCAGCCCAGGACCTCCACATCCAGCTTCTTCACCTGTGAGATTGTCTGAGACCAGGCTCCCGGACAGCTGATGAAACTGTGGGTTTGCACAACCGAATAATTTCTGCACAAACTGTCAGAAACAGTCTCATGGAAGCTAATCTGCGTGGTCGTCGTCCTCACCAGGGTCTTGACCAGACTGCAGTTCGGCGTCGTAACCAACTTCAGCAAATGCTCACTTTCGATGGCTACTGGCACGCTGGAGAAGTGTGCTCTTCACGGATACATCCTGGTTTCAACTGTACCGGGCAATGGCAGACAGCGTGAATGGCGTTGTGTGGGCGAGCGGTTTGCTGATGTCAACATTGTGAACAGAGTGCCCCATGGTGGCAGTGGGGTTATGGTATGGGCAGGCATAAGCTACAGACAACAAACACAATTGCATTTTATAGATGGCAATTTGAATGCACAGAGATACCGGGACGAGATCCTGAGGCCCATTGTTGTGTCATTCATCCGCTGCCATCACCTCATTTTTCAGAATGATAATGCACGGCCCCATGTCGCAAGGATCTGTATATAATTCCTGGAAGCTGAACATTTCCCAGTTCTTCCATGCCCTGCATACTCACCAGACATGTCACCCATTGAGCATGTTTGGGATGCTCTGGATCAACGTGTACGACAGTGTGTTCCAGTTCCCGCCAATATCCAGCAACTTCGCAAAGCCATTGAAGAGGAGTGGGACAACATTCCAAAGGCCACAATCAACAGCCTGATCAACTCGATATGAAGGAGATGTGTCGCGCTGCATGAGGCAAATGGTAGATATACCAGATACTGACTGGTTTTCTGATCCACTCCCTATCTTTTTTTTAAAGGTATCTGTGACCAACATGTGCATATCTGTATTCCCAGTCATATTCCCAGAAATCCATAGATTAGGGCCTAATGATTTCCTTATAAGAACTGTAACTCAGTAAAATCTGTTGAAATTGTTGCATGTTGCGTTTATATTTCTGTTCAGTGTATGCGGAAAATACCAATGACCCTTTGGAAAATAAACTTGTGAAAAGAATGTCAGCTAAAACATGACCTCTTTTATTCCAATAGTCAATTGTTTCCTGATGATGAAACATTGAGCTAACAGGCTCCTAACTGTTGTCATTATAAAGAGGCCATAAAAGTCCAACTATAAAGAACTAGGGTTCCAAAATTCCCATGTTTTCCAGAAATCCTGGTTAGTGGATTCCTGGATTTCCTGCTTATTCACTCCTAAATCCAGAAATATTCTAACCTGGATTTCTGGAAAACCTAGTAACCAGTATTTTGCAACCCTATAAAGAACCTTACATATGACTACATAGCAAGGCATCTCAGCATCTGTTTTGCCATGTTATATCATACTGACACAAAAGATTGCTTTTCCAGTGCCTCTATGCAGGCACCGGTTATGTCCCAAATGGCAACCTATTCCCTTTATAGTGCACTACTTTTGACTCTGCCATTTGGGACACACATTAGTTCCTCTCGACCTTTAGAGCCCTTTGAACCTCCTCTAACAATCTCTGGTCTGATTCACTCATCATCTTGGTCAAGCCAAATAAAGCTTGTGCTTCTGTTATAGAAGTAGTTGAAGTGCATCTGCTTTCACTGAGTTTGTAATGAAGTGCTACTCAACTTAGATGTACAATTCTTGCATTATTCGTTCTCATTCTGTAAGCCCTTTCAGTGCTTAATGCAGTGCTTGTGTGGAGATGAAATGGTACCTTTTTTTCCCTTCTCTAACGATACTAGACTGATGTTGCTTTATTGGCTGTAATAGACCCTGAGGGGGATTGAGGTCTGATGACCATGCCCGCCTTGCCCCGACCGTGGTTATATTATGGGAATAACTCAGCCTCAAATTGCTGTGCAGCATTCCAGATGACTGCCTCCAAACCGCTGCTTTCCATTGGAACAGTTCATATGCATTTGAGGTTCAAGGGATTGAGTAATGTTCATTGATCAATTGAAATAATAAATATAGCTTTGAGCAACAATGAACGGGATTCACAGGATGACATAAATTACACAAGATCAGTTGGATAACAAAGCACTCGATCATGTAGGAACTATCTTCCTTTATGTGCAATCAGCATTACCATGTTTATCTCTCAATACCACAAGGATGACGCAAGTGACGTTGTCTAGTGCGGTAGGTTGCGTCTTTGAGTGCAGCAGGTAATAATTTTTTAATTAATTACTTAATATATTGAGTTTAATATAAATATATATATACGCTGGCTGCGCAAGAGGTAGGACTTCCGGTTTCAAATTTTCCCTAATAAAATATCCACACTACGTTCAGACCATATAATAGGGCAACAATATGTGATTTATACAGATATGTTTTACATTGTTCGTCTGCATAATTTTAATCTAACATTCATTTGCAAGAGACAAAGTCTACTTGATCAATAGTTATTGCTCTAGTGTCCTATGGTGCCACTGGTGCCAATGACATCTATAGTGCCACCAAATGGTCTGGTGCAGCCATCTAATGTTTTAGTGACTTTATATTCACACAGCTTTTAAGGATGTATACATAAGGTTTACATAACAAATGTAATGGCCCCATGTCCATCAGTTCAGTTCTTATAGCCCTGGTGTGATATTGTGCCATCTAGTGGTGTAGCGTGGCCGACTTTGAATGCATCAACAGTAGTGAGTCTAAATACAAAATCTGGACTGAATCTGACGTATGGTTCATGAGGAGAAGATGATTGCAGATGATTTTGAGCATTAGCGTTACATACAGTGGGGAAAAAAGTATTTAGTCAGCCACCAATTGTGCAAGTTCTCCCACTTAAAAAGATGAGAGAGGCCTGTAATTTTCATCATAGGTACACGTCAACTATGACAGACAAAATAAGAAGAAAAAAAATCCAGAAAATCACATTGTAGGATTTTTAATGAATTTATTTGCAAATTATGGTGGAAAATAAGTATTTGGTCAATAACAAAAGTTTCTCAATACTTTGTTATATACCCTTTGTTGGCAATGACACAGGTCAAACGTTTTCTGTAAGTCTTCACAATGTTTTCACACACTGTTGCTGGTATTTTGGCCCATTCCTCCATGCAGATCTCCTCTAGAGCAGTGGGCGCTGTCGCTGGGCAACACGGACTTTCAAGTCCCTCCAAAGATTTTCTATGGGGTTGAGATCTGGAAACTGGCTAGGCCACTCCAGGACCTTGAAATGCTTCTTACGAAGCCACTCCTTCGTTGCCCGGGCGGTGTGTTTGGGATCATTGTCATGCTGAAAACCCAGCCACGTTTCATCTTCAATGCCCTTGCTGATGGAAGGAGGTTTTCACTCAAAATCTCACGATACATGGCCCCATTCATTCTTTCCTTTACACGGATCAGTCGTCCTGGTCCCTTTGCAGAAAAACAGCCCCAAAGCATGATGTTTCCACCCCCATGCTTCACAGTAGGTATGGTGTTCTTTGGATGCAACTCAGCATTCTTTGTCCTCCAAACACGACGAGTTGAGTTTTTACCAAAAAGTTATATTTTGGTTTCATCTGACCATATGACATTCTCCCAATCCTCTTCTGGATCATCCAAATGCACTCTAGCAAACTTCAGACGGGCCTGGACATGTACTGGCTTAAGCAGGGGGACACGTCTGGCACTGCAGGATTTGAGTCCCTGGCAGCGTAGTGTGTTACTGATGGTAGGCTTTGTTACTTTGGTCCCAGCTCTCTGCAGGTCATTCACTAGGTCCCCCCGTGTGGTTCTGGGATTTTTGCTCACCGTTCTTGTGATCATTTTGACCCCACGGGGTGAGATCTTGCGTGGAGCCCCAGATCGAGGGAGATTATCAGTGGTCTTGTATGTCTTCCATTTCCTAATAATTGCTCCCACAGTTGATTTCTTCAAACCAAGCTGCTTACCTATTGCAGATTCAGTCTTCCCAGCCTGGTGCAGGTCTACAATTTTGTTTCTGGTGTCCTTTGACAGCTCTTTGGTCTTGGCCATAGTGGAGTTTGGAATGTGACTGTTTGAGGTTGTGGACAGGTGTCTTTTATACTGATAACAAGTTCAAACAGGTGCCATTAATACAGGTAACGAGTGGAGGACAGAGGAGCCTCTTAAAGAAGAAGTTACAGGTCTGTGAGAGCCAGAAATCTTGCTTGTTTGTAGGTGACCAAATACTTATTTTCCACCATAATTTGCAAATAAATTCATAAAAAATCCTACAATTTTATTTTCTGGATTTTTTTTCTTCTCAATTTGTCTGTCATAGTTGACGTGTACCTATGATGAAAATTACAGGCCTCTCTCATCTTTTTAAGTGGGAGAACTTGCACAATTGGTGGCTGACTAAATACTTTTTTTCCCCACTGTATGCAAATAATTATTTGATAATGTTTTTTGAGATATCAATACTATATTCCGTGTGGTTCATCTTAGGGACGTCCATGATAGCGATGACAAGTTTCAAGTTGATAGGTCACTGTGGAGTGGATTTACAGTGCTTTAAATGGGCATGTTAAATCTGATTTTTGATTTATCAATAACTCATCTTGACCAATCCCTTAGCTTTTCCCAAACAAAGTTGAGGCATGTACCATGGACCTTCATTCCACATTTGGTGTCATTTGGACGTATGGTTCATGATAATATTTTTATAGTATCTACTGGTATAGTGTGGCCATCTTTGAATGCATCAACATTATTTTCTCATGCTATTTAGGGACGAGTCCAAAGACCAAATTTGGAGTGAATCTGACTTTTTTACAATGGGTGGTTTGGTATTCCCATTGTTAGTCTATCCTGCCCATGATATACTAGACATATACTACACATACTGTACACTGAGTGTACAAAACATTAAGAACTCTTTCCATGACACAGACTGACCAGGTGAATCCAGGTAAAAGTCATGATCCCTTATTGATGTCACTTGTTAAATCCACTTCAATCAGTGTAGATGAAGGGGAGGAGAAAGGGTAAAGAAGGATTTTTAAGCCTTGAGACAATTGAGACATGGATTGTGTATGTGTGCCATTCAGAGGGTGAATGGGCAAGACAAAAGATTTAAGTGCCTTTGAACGGGATATGGTAGTAGGTGCCAGGCACACTGGTTTGAGTGTGCCACTCAATATTAGGAAGGTGTTCATAATGTTTTGTACACTCAGTTTATACTAGAAAACATACACATGGCCACATTCAATAAAAAGTGGCATTGTTTATGTCGTTACCTAGCAACGCACTACTAATACTACTACTACTTTTACAGATCCACTGTCTCATCTGCCCAGCCATGCAACTTATAAACTTCATCTCCACTGTAAAAAGCATCTAGACATTCTCTCCGACATTTGCAACATTGTTGCAATATTGAAATTCGATCTCCACTGTGTCCCAAAATAATGTCATTTCGGTACGAGATAGACAGGCAGCTTTCCTCAGCCAGTCAATCCGCATCATTTTATGGATATATAAATTAAATGTCAATGGAGAAACCGGTAAAACGAAATGAAATGGTGCTGGTTTGCGGTCTTTCCAGCTGAAGTGATTGTGTTGGCTGTGTAGTTGGCTAGCTAGCAATAGCAACCTGCAAAGTTCTGGAACTATCAACCAGTGCTTGGGTAGTTTTTGACAGTCAATACGAAAATAACTAACGACCATATAACCCCAAAAATTGCACTTGACAACCAGTGGTCGTGAATGTAGCATCATGCTTTGTTGAAAAATGTGTGGTTTGGGAAATAATCTTGCATTTTTAATGCTGGTAACCCATTGTATAACAGCAATAATACACTCAAGTCCAATGCTTTTAAGCATTAACGCTATATAGTCAAAAAAGTGAATTCTTATTACTTTCCTTATTTTAAAAGATATCAATGCCAAACGTAACATGATTTATCATGGTAATGCCTTTGATAACCCTAAAACGATTCAAGTTGATAGGCCATTGTGGAATGGATTTACAAAGGATTTTAAATGGACACGTAAAATCAGATTTCCTGATTCATCAATAACTCAGCCATCTCTTAACCAATACCTTAGCTTTTGTCAAACTAAGTTAAGAGATGTACCATGGGTCTACATACCAGCGTTATTTGAACTTATGGTTACTGAGAATACGTTTTCAAAAATGTCCAAGATGGAGGAAAATCTCTCCCAATGGACCTTATGGGTCCTTGAGGCAAATTTGTTCAGCATGAGGAAAGACACCTACATACACATTTTAACTTTAACAAGTTACTTATTGTTTCAGTGTGCCAAATTAGGAAAAAAGTTACCAATCTATGCTTGAGTTATTTGACCATGTCAAAAAAAGATTCTGACAATAACAATAATTATTTGTTGTCTTTGCTGTGAACCCCTAATAATACCCACAGAGCCAGGACTCATACTGTAACTCCCACCTTAAGTTATTTATTAATCTATCTCTAGATAAAGTGTTAATAATCAATCTGCACAGTGTAATGTTTTTAAAGGTAGCAAAGCACATGCCCTGCTGTGACACAGGTCTGATTGTACTGAATGTGGGCCCTGGGCACTAAACGTGTTTATATTGCTTTTGTGATTATGAACAAATAACCACTGTAATGTACTGTATGTGTAACGTGGTTAGTTATGTTTCCACTTGCCACTGCAGAAATGTGTATTTAATGTTTATGTATTCTAATTGGTTGGTTTAAGTCAGATGTCAATAAGAGGTAATGTCATTGGCTACGCTTGCAGATAGGGGGAGATTGCGAACGTCAATTCTTCCCAGTCTGATATTGACATGCAAGCGGTAGGTCACGTTCTGAAATACTGTATGCTAATTAAGCATACAGTGCATTCGGAAAGTATTCAGACCCCTTGACTTTTTCCACATTTTGTTACGTTGCAGCCTTATTCTTAAATTGATTTAATTGTTTTTTTTCCTCATCAACCTACACACAATACCCTATAATGACAAACAGGTTTGTAGAAATCTTTGCACATTTATAAAATAAAAACAACTGAAATTTGACATTTACAAAAGTATTCAGATCCTTTACTCAGTACTTTGTTGAAGCACCTTTGGCAGCGATTACAGCCTCGAGTCTTCTTGGGTATGACGCTACATGCTTGGCACACCTGTATTTGGGGAGTTTCTCCCATTCTTCTCTGCAGATCCTCTCAAGCTCTGTCAGGTTGGATGGGGAGCGTTGCTGCACAGCTATTTTCAGGTCTCTCCAGAGATGTTCGATCGGGTTCAAGTCCGGACTCTGGCTGGGCCACTCAAGGACATTCAGAGACTTGTTTCTCACTTTCCTCTCTGTCCATTTCTTCTGCTTGTTGTGGTCTCTACATTGACATTTCTTTCTCTTGTATCTACCAGAAAGAATCATAGAAGATCATGAATCTGTTATGGAGGTGCTGTCCGGTTGGGGCATGGACACAGACAGTCGGCTATATTTCCGGAAGAACTATGCCAAATATGAATTCTTCAATAAACCGCTGGTAAGACGAGGGTGTGATATTAGCAAAGAAATGTGTGTACTCATTTATACATTATACCACCTGTTTTCTTAATGCACTCTGCTGGACCAATAAGTATTAGTTGATGTAAAGAGCATGTGTGTTGTTATGACTGATGTTGTTTTCATGTTGATAGGATTCTTTCCCAGATCACATGGTGTCCATATCAAGTGAAACCAATGGGATGATGAACCATTCTCAGCTAATACAGGTATCCCTCAAGCTACATTCTACATGTACAGTATCTTCACTTTAAAGTTACAGATTTGGGGCCAGTTTCCTGGACACGGATTAAGCCAAGTCCTGGACTAATAAGCCCTTTCAAAGGAGATTCTTCAGTGAGTTTGCTTGCAAGTCCAAGACCAGGCTTAATCTGTGTCCAGGAAACCGCCCCTCAGTGTTGCTGCTACAGTATTTAGAGACTATTTTCTGTCCAACAGACTTTTCTCAACTCAAGCACTTGTCCAGAGATCCATGGGCACCTCCATGCCAAAGAACAAGGCAGGAAGTCTTGGAAGAAGTTCTACTTTGTCTTGAGGAGGTCAGGTCTCTACTTCTCCAACAAGGGGACATCAAAGGTCAGTCAATATCATTGATATATTAGTGTGCACTCAAGAAATGTTTCTTAAGTAACTGTCAAGTTTTCCAGATTTCAATGAAACATTAATTCATTACAATATGAATGGAATAGATTTCCTTCCTAAAATAATTCTGTATGTTAAAAAGCAAAAAGTATGTTTTTGCAAAAAGCAACTAAATTCAAGGAGATAATTTAACTTGTTTTCGCTGGCTGTCTATGGGATAATTTGATAAGTGTGTCAATGTGCCAGCGTGGTGTGGTGTACAGTAGGGGACTAGCTAGCTCTATTGTCCCCTGGCTGCTTTGTGGAACTGGTTGAGCTAGATTTCCCTTTGGTCAGCTGGCATGCCACTGCCAGGGACTGAGCCCTCAACACCCAATGCTGACAGGTGAGGCTTAGACGTGCACAGCACTGTGCCAAGCCAACCACTTCTCCCTCTCCCAACAACAGAAGAGACTAGAGAACAAAAAGACTAGAGCACAAAAAGACTAGAGCACAAAAAGACCCAGGTTTGCTATCTCCAATATAGGTGACGCAATTAGTTAGAGATGTTAGGTCTGACTTCATTCTTTTAGTTTGATATGAAGTGATTTATGATGTGTAAATTGGTTTTGGCTACATTTTTGGTTTGTGTCCTACACATTGCCAGTCAGTCAGTCACCACAAACACAGACAACTATACCTACCTGTTCTTTACACTGTGCGACAGAGAAGTGAGAATGTTGTGTCGCATTCCCACAACGTTTGAACAATGGTTTGCTTTGTGCTTCTCTGCTTGGTAAATCTCTTTTGCCTTGGCTCCCTGACAGTGTTCTTATTGTATAAATAAATCTCTTATCACTTTGTCACATATTTGGTCCTATCTCAAACACTAGCCACACCTACAGTGTAATGGATAGGGCAAGATTATTTGCTTGACTATGTTGAAGTGTGCCAAATTCGTCCCACCTCTCAATTGTAAGGGGTCTGCAGCTAAAACAATGATCTCTTTTTATTCTGTGATCACAATGGACCAGGTTGATGTGAATCTTTGTCCTAAATGGCACCCTATTCCCTATTCAGTGCTCTTGGACTCATAGGGCTCTGGTCAACATTAGTGTGCTATAAAGGGAGTAGGGTGCCATTTGTGAGGGTGCCATTTGTGATGCAGACAAAAACTTCAAGCTAGTCCCTCTTTACTATTGTCACAGTGACCAACATACTACAGACTGGCATTATACCACATGCCTTAACTGCTAGCTTTTCCTTACGCTGACCAGCCCACTAAGCTCACACAGATGTACATGTATAATGGCCAAGTGATATGACATTGCAGTCTTTATTTGCTTAGCATCTGTCTTCACACTGGGCAGCCCTGCATTGTTCACATTTCTACCCTGATCCCTCATATAGTTGGATTTGTAATGGAACTTGAGTCTACTCTACAGTGGAATGCGAGAACCCAACCCTTCATTGCAATGGAGCATAGGGGGGGATAATGTGACGTAAAGGGGACACTGAAAGGCATGTGGAGATTTGAGACATTTCTACATTTCCTGCATTGTTCACATTTCTACCCTGATCCCTCACATAGTTGGATTTGTAATGGAACTTGAGTCTACTCTACAGTGGAATGCGAGAACCCAACCCTTCATTGCAATGGAGCATTATGTGTTGGGGGGGGGGATAATGTGACGTAAAGGGGACACTGAAAGGCATGTGGAGATTTGAGACATTTCTTGTTTTCTATTCACAGGAACCAAGGCATCTCCAGTTCATTGCTGAGTTCAGTGACAGCGACGTCTACACGTTCCTATCAGCGAGAAAGATACACGGAGCGCCTACGGACTATGGCTTCTGTGTCAAGGTACTTTTACTTTCTCTATCTATAAACCTATATTTGGTGTTTTCTGTAAAGGTTTTAACATGTTAAGTTATTCAATTCAATATAACTTTATTTATCCCATCAGGGACAATTAAGAAAGGCAAGTCAGTTCCGAGTTATGTTTGGTAAACTCATGCTTTCTCTTCATGATGATCCTCCACTCCAGTCTACTAAGTGTGGCTCTCCACGAGACCTCAAGTTGTTGTGTGCAGATGACGAGCAAACCAGAACCTGCTGGGTCACTGCCATGCGCCTCTTTAAGGTACAGTCACCATGCTGCCCCCCTTATCACATCCAAACTCTGTCTAGTGTCTACACATCTAAAGGCTTGCCTTTTGAAACATGCTCATGTTTTGTGTTGCAGTATGGGATGCAGCTGTACCAAAACTTCATTCAACCACACCAGAAACAGAAAACTTCACCTATGGTAAGTGATGTGTAAATACCAATGTGCTGATACACAGTTTAACAGCACATGACACAGGACACACAGTCAGTATTCATACTGGATTCATTTTCCAGAATAATATTTCCCCCTCAAATGCGAGTATTCTGTATGAGTAAACACATGTTCTATTATGGGCACTGGAACATCCAGCCTGTCTCCTCTAAAAATAACCGTAGATCAGCTGCTCTCAGACTTAACAACTCGTCACCCCTGCTTTGCTGTCAGAAGAACGCAAAGAGTGTCTAGGCATGGGGCTGGGACCCTGAGCTCAGTGCTGCACAGGGAAGGGCTAGGATGCATCTCAAATAGTGTACTTTTTTTACTAAGGCCCTATGGGATACCCTATGGTCCCTGGTCAAAAGTAGTGCACTATATAGGAAATAGGGTGCCATTACGGACACACACTTAGACTAACCCTCTGGGAACAGGCTTGCTTAATCTCCTTTACCCTGGCATACAGCTGTTATAGCCTAGATCATGACATGCCGTAAGACTAGCCCACCAGACAAAGAATCAAATCACAATGAAACCAAACCAAGGAAAGGAGCAATCAGTTTGTTTGCACAATGATGCCTGGGAGCCCCAGAATTATCTTTACATCGTCTGAATGGACCCAGACCATTCAGAGAGTCTTAGAAGGATTGGAATGTTTCTATCCTTAAAGTAAACAGTAGTCACTTTGTGACGACTGCCCTTAAGGATCCTGAGGTTAGGGGTGATAGAGGGGCAAACCATGGCAATTTAAAGGCCTCTCACTAATCCTGATAAGAAGTATTTTCTTTTGAGTTTGATTATTTAAAACCAGTGACTATGACAGCTTAAGGGACTATAATCAATGCTATGTGCCCATGTGTCGTTCTATTCGTAACCCCTCTAATCCCCATTCACTGGAGCACATTCTGCTCGGAATCATCTAGAAATTATACTCAGTCACACTTCTCAGACACTAGATAGCAGCACTTCTGTATAATTTTTTACACTGTATACTCATAATAATGTATACTACCTCAAACATTATGTATATTTCAAGAGAAGTATCTCAGAGAACTCCTTGGTGGCCATGGACTTCTCAGGACACAAGAGCCGGGTGATCGAGAACCCATCGGAGGCGCTGTCCGTAGCCGTGGAGGAAGGGCTCTCATGGAGGGTAGGCTATTGGTTCGCTCTCTGACATCATTTCTCTCTACTCAGCACTGTGACACTGGTCCTGCAATAACACATAAAGGATTATTTTACCATGACTGAATACCTGACAACAGATGCTTTATTAATGCCCAAAATTTGACGCGTCAGTTGTATAAGGTATGAAATGATGGTGAACCAATGTGAAAATAGTCCAAGCATGTGACACTTGAACTGTTCTTCACTCTCTCCCTTCAGAGGAAAAGCTGCCACCGTCTGAGCTCCCATGGAAGCCCGTCCACCTCTCAGAGTCCCATGTCAAACATAGGTTAGTAGAAGGCCACTTTCAACATGCAAGCAGCAACTCCCAGGAATGCAGCCACAGCCACATGACTCTCCTAACCAGATACAATGTGCTTAATGACTCAGCCACTAGTGTCGTGTCCTCTCCCTCTGAAACATGGGTCGTATTCATTAGTGCACACCGTAGCAATACGTTTTTGGCGGCAGGTAGCCTAGCGGTTAGAGTGTTTGGCTGGTATCCGAATGGTCGCTAGTTCGAATCCCCGAGCTGACAAGGTTAAAAATCTGTCTGTGCCCTTGAGCAAGGCGCTTAACCCTAATTCTTCCAGGGTTGCCGTAGATAATGGCAGAGCCTGGCCATGACCCCACTCTCTGAGGATGTCTCAGGGAGAGTTCACATATGCGAAAAAACATTTCCAATTCCCATATGTGTGTTAATACACACTTGTACGTGTGTGAAATAGGACAAATATAAGCACCCATCAAATGTATTATTTTGCAACGGCTAATTAAAACAAGCATTTTTTATTGGACAAGTTCAGGTAGTCACTCACTGTTTCTGTATGTTTTCTTCTGTTTGGTGCCTAATGAAAATCACCATAGTCGTCCTGTGTGTTTTGCAGCTCTCCATATGGCCCAGCCCTGGTTCCACAGCAAATTGTCCAGAGACGAAGCACACCTCTTAATCACTCAACAGGGTCTGATTGATGGGTGAGCAGCATCAGGCACTTTTCTATGCGTGTTTTGAAACTGCAAGCTAGAGAGTTTACGTATGGATTTTATTGTAGTGTAATTTACACTTACCAGACAGAAATACGTTAACAAAAATGTCCCAAGTTGTTCCTGAAGAAACTGAGAGACTTTTCTTTGTTTTCAGAGTATTTATTCTAAGGGACAGCCAAAGCAACCCCAATACATTTGTACTGTCACTGTGTCACACACAGAGAATCAAACACTTTCAGATCTTACCGGTGAGTATAACCCTTTGTTTTGGTATATGCACTTCTCTTCTCTTTTAGACAACATCTTGTTCAAGCTTGTGTGTTTGTGTGTGTTTGCGTGCATGTGTAAGGTGGATGAAGAGGGGGAATTGTTCTACAGCCTAGATGACGGTCATACGCGCTTCACTGATCTGATCCAGCTAGTGGACTTCTACCAGCTCAACCGTGGGGTGCTGCCCTGCAAGCTCAAACACCACTGTGCCAGGATCACCCTCTGAGGGTGCAGGGGTCTCCTAGGGCCCCATACATACAGAAGCACCTTAATCACAGCCAATGCCTCTCTGGAGAACCAACCACCCATGCATCCCTCACTCCCTCCTATGCCTTGGACAGGAGACACAGAGAACACCTCCAGACATAAGCGAACTGAAACCACTTATCACCCACTACAATCCATTATCTTGGAGAAAACTGTGGTAATCAGTCTTTGTAATGATTTTACTTTTTAATAAAATATTAAATAGGTGTTATGATTAAAAATACATGACGAAATTGTGTCATACATGACCAGAGGTGTTGAGAAATCTGGTGTTGGAAAAAAGTGAATCGACTGTAGAATTGATGTGACTGAGAGGGCTCTACTGCGAGCCTATTGGTTGGCCCTGTATGTTAGCCCAGGTGTGGTGACGAATCACAAACATCACAGGGACTCATGTGTCGAGTCCAAACTTCAGTTAATATACTGTATATAATGTGGAGCTGATCATGTTTGCATTGTGTATCGGCTCACTTGCTTGTTACAACTCTATGGGAATGAACATCTACTGTAGCCAACGGTTGAAACCGTAGAGCGAGAGCTGATATTTGACAATGTGTGTTCACACCACGTGAATAGAATGACCAGTGTGGTACAGCCATAATCAATGTGCATTATCGGCACAGTTAAACTGAACCTGGTAATTTGTCAGTAGAAGGGGATCACTACTATCAGATGAGACAAGGCATGATGGGAAATGTAGTATGTAGGCTCCAGAGGAGGCTGGTGGGAAGAGCCATAGGAGGACAGGCTCAATGTAGTTGATGGAATGGAATCAATGGAATGGAGTCAAACATGTGGTTTCCATAAGTTTGATACCGTTCCATTTATTCCATTCCAGCCATTACATTGAGCCCGTCCTCCTATAGCTCCTCCCACCAGCCTCCTCTGGTAGGCTACAGTGGTCCTCTGGCCTTGGTCATCTCCTGGGTAAACTAAGCTGTTGCTTGTTGTTTTTATCACATCTCAAGGAATTCCGGTATATTTCTAAACAACATATGATTGTTTTCTTTTCTATTTTAGAGGTATGAGTAGAAGAGGAGAATTCAAAGTGGTAGCATGTTATTTAAGCTGGACTTTGACTGCTGTAGGGAGAGCATGCACAACACGATTTACTAGCCTGCACTGTACATTTATTGGAAATGTATTGATTGCATTTGAATCAATAAATGTTAGGCTTCTCCCTTTTGTTATCACAAGACCAGTGGAAGAGATATTTGACTAATTTGAGATTCAAACCACAGTCTAAGATAGAAATACGGTATAATATTGATTTTATTGATCAAAATCTGAATTGTTGTACATTGAAATTAATGTTTTATAGCCTTTCCCCCCCCCCAAGATTCAGGTAAACCATGTGCAGCACCTGAAATGGTTGAATATTGATGTAAAGAAAACAAAACCATGACTTACATCATGTACTGTTTGTTGCTTCATTTTGGAAATGGTACTGTAATCATGCAGCATTTGTACAGACAGGTTTCACCAGTACAATAGAATAAAACAAGGTGTACTGTACTTTGAAACAAGTGAAATAACCAAGACATGTTAACAATGCATTTCATACGATGTTTCTTTTAACATAGAGGAGAACAGTGCATTTAAAATGTAATGAATATCATGGACTGCAATGTTTTATAAAGGAAACAAAATCATTGTCTACTTGCACTGTATGATTTCAGTTGTATAATTGTTATGTATTGAGAGCAAGCCACAAGGTGAACAAACACACAGTAGCTAGGTTTCCATCCAATTGGCGACAGATTGTCATGCGAATATTCTCAAATCTGCATAAAAACAATGTGGACATTTTCCCATGTGTTTCCATCAAATTGACTTGTTGCGGATTACATTCTGTGCATGATGTTGTAGTGCACATAAAAATAACTTTTGTAGTTAAAATTGCTATGTACCGAATAAAAAATACAAGTTAAGTGGGACTCACCGCTGTAATCGCTGCCAAAGGTGATTCTACATGTATTGACTCGGGTGTGATATTTTGATATTTCATTTTCAATACATTAGCAAACATTTCTAAAAACATGTTTTCACTTTGTTGTTATGGGGTATTGTGTTTAGATGAGAGAAAAAAAATAAATGTAATCAATTTTGAATTCAGGCTGTAACAACAACATGTGGAATAAGTCTAGGGATTTTGAATACTGCATTACATTTCCATTGTTATAGATAACCTGTTAATTGCACTGTAGTAGTTGAAACACTGGTAACACAAATGTCTGATACTAATGGCCCAGCTAGCACATAAGGTTCTGAGAACCATATACAGTATTTCTTAGAGCTTGGTGAGCGCGTGGTTGTCCTATGGTTATTTTGCATACAACCTTCCCATTACGTTTCCTACAGGTTCTATTTAAAGTAATGTTCTCAAATTGTTCAGAGAATGTGAGAAAAAAAAACATTATTCTGTGGGAATTTCAGTACTTCAGCACAACATTTCTACAGGTTTCCTCGTGGTTCTATTTAAAGTCATGTTCTCAGAACGTTAAGAAACAACATTCTTCTGTGGGAATCTCAGTACTTCAGCATAACGCTTTCTGCAGATTTCCTCGTGGTTCTATTTAAAGTCATGTTCTCAGAACATTCAGAGAACGTTAAGAAACAACGTTCTTCTGTGGGAATGTCAGAACAAAACTATCTTGTTAAGTGTTTTCAGGTGTGTTGGCCGCACCCACTAATTGGCTAATTGATCTTAAAGAGTGCTTGTTTCCTTTAAAATAGGGTCTGTTTGAATAGACTAAAATGAACAGCTTTGTATGGTAGCTCCTTCCATGGATAAAGAGCAGAAGATCATAAGTTTGAATCTCACTGAAGCCATGCCACAATAAAAAAACGAATGTGGAATTTCCATGTGTCCTTTCTGTGCTTGGTGTTCAAAACAGTTAACCCAAACTAAGCTAGCAGTTTTATTAAAAGCTTATTGAAACATGTTCTCAGAATGTTATTTAATTGCCTTCAAATAACCTATAATTTCCGTTCTCAGGACGTTAATAAAACCTCCCAGGAAAACTTTCACGGAACCATACAAAAACATTCTCAGAACCTTCCTGCAACCTAAAAATGAACGTTCCCAGAACAGGCAAAATGTTCACTGATGGCTTTGTTCCCAGAACCAATGGGAAACCAAAAATGTACGTTCCCACAACTTCCAAGGAACCAAATGTGCTAGCTGGGGGGTTACACAGACTGTTAAAGGGCAACTGAACTTCCTGATTTGGCCTCGTTTTAGATTTGGTTCATAAAAAAATGCTAGCAGCCATGACGGAATTCAAACGAGAGTTGGTTTCGGGGTGTGGTTTGATGTGGGTGTCTTGTGTGTGTGTTCACAGTTGGGAATAGTTAGCCAACGTATTTAGCCAATTAGCTTCAGCCGGCTGGTGTGCGACCAACCGTGGCAAAGTTTGTTTGACTTTGGATAGCCTATCGCTGGGGCTAGTTAGGGACCGCCAATAAATTACACAATGTAAATGAGACAATATTTTCATTTTGTACACCTTTCAGTTCTCATGAAATGCTTTCAATATTTGTATATGAATTTCAAAAATGTATAGTTGGTTTGAGGTTTTATAGTCATTGAAATTCTGAGCTATCGGAATTTGAACATATTTTCCCAGGCTACATTGTGTATTTTACCAATGGTCCCTAACTAGCCCCATAAGTCAACCCAAATTTACCACAGGCATTAGGATCGGGTCTTGTGCAGCTGCACTCCAAATTGATGATTACTTGTGTGCTGCCTGCCAGTGGAGGCTGCTGAGGGGAGGACGGCTCATAATAAAGGCTGGAATGGAGTCAATGGAATGGTATCAAACACATCAATGACGTGGTTTCCATATGGTTTATACCATTCCATTGACTCCATTGTAGCCATTACTATGAGCCATCCTCCCCTCAGCAGCCTCCACTGCTGGCAGCTGTGGGCATGTGGGCAGGATTGAAACAAACCCAACCTTCATTTACATTGTGATGCAGTCACGACCAGTGCAGTGATTTTATGACCAAAATTATCCTATTTAAACTTTGTAGTCAATTTTGACAGTAGCTGACTCATATCGATGACACAGGCTGTTCTCTAAATGAGTAGATGGTTTTTAGGGGCAGATTCTCTTTAAGGACGGTTAGCAATGTGCCGCTTTTTTGTGCTTGCATTTGGTGGACCAGGTCATAGCTCTGCTTTCATTTTATACCACAGGAGGTTGGTGGCACCTTAATTGGGGAGAACGGGCTTGTGTTAATGACTGGAGCAGAATAAGTGTAATGGTATCAAATACATCAAACACATGGTTTCCAGGTGTTTGATGCCATTCCATTTGCTCCGTTCCGGACATTATTATGAGCCTCCTGTGTTTTATACAGACCTAAATAGCCTAGTATCTACATTATCTGAAATCACAATGTACATATAATTTATTGTATTCTATAAAGCTTTCTCTGTGTTCACTATTTCTCTGCATCTGTCATCACCAGTCACCCATTGTCCTCCTCGGTCACATTTAGGGTCGTCACTAGTTACCACTGCCACAAAGTCATAATCCTGGCCTGTTGTACATGTTATAACCGCTAGATGGCAATAGATGGCTTCTCTTAAGCTCCTCACCTTTACTGGTGGGTGTGATGAGATCCCTCCATTGAAGTCTAAGGATCTCTCAGCATCTGTTGCATAGACCTGTAATTGCCACTGTTTGTATAGGCAAATCAGTAATTTACTTGATAAATGGATTAGCATTCTGTATATTGCAGTCAGATGGCTGAGTGTTTTGACTTGAGGCGCTTCTTGCACACAACACGAGTAACAGAACACAGTCTCTGTAGTGAGATAAACAAATCACCCCGCCACTTCCTGACCACAGCTATTTCAATGTCTCACTTTGAAAATGTGCTCACATCCAGGGTTCAGATGTGCACACTGAAGTCTTAAATGCACCCATGCAGTATGAAAATGTATGCACTCACCAACTGTAAGTCGCTCTGGATAAGAGTGTCTGCTAAATGACTAAAATGTAAAAATGTAAGGTCTTCAGCTTAATGCTCCTCTTGGATATATTCCTGCCATTGATCCATGTCTGGCTGCAGGACTAGAGATAAGGGAGAGATGGCAGCTGGGAGAGACTCTGATTCCCTTAATGAGTTCATCCAGCTAGACAACAGCCCAAACAGCCTGTGGATAACTTCTCCTCCCAGGCAGACTGGGGCTCACTGTCTGGGCCCACATGAGAACAAGAACAACTCCTCTTCTCTACTGTACCTGACCAGAAGGAGAGCAGCAACAGGGCCTATACTGAGGCTATGTGAGGGTAGGTTTGGACTGTAAGGGGAGTTGATGTGCTGAACTGTATTTGTACTGTCCATGACCCAACAGTGTGTCAGCAGGAAGCTGGCTCCCGCAGCAGGTCAGGCCACTCCCAGAGGTCAGGGCAACTCTACTGCTGATGCCACTGTGGCCCCAAAGGAACAGCACAGTCACTAAGGTAATAGGGCAAAATCTGAATATCACTGGCCTTTTCTTTTTTCAACCTGTTTTGCCTTTTGTCATTGTACTTTCTAAACAGCAACAAAATAAATTACAGAGTGATTGAAATGTAAAGGCAACGTTCCTGCTTTAGCGGAGACTGCATTTACGGTAAACGCTGCATATGTCGGCTCAATCGGAAATTACCTTTACATTTCTATAACAGAATCTGTAATACTTCAGCTTTACAGATTGAATAGAGCTGTAGATTGAGGTAAGGTGTATCTATTGTTTGTATTGCATCCGGGTGTATTGTATTAGAATGCATTACCACAATAATGCCATACCTC